CCTTAGCCCTCCAAATGACCGACTCCACCCTCCAATCTGCAATTAATCAACAAATTATGCATGCACGTCTTTTCAGTGTTTGTAGATATGATTTCAAGATTTAAAGTTGGTGGATTTGGAACAACTGCATCAATATACATTTATTTTTTGCTATATGATTCATACTAGAAACTGTGAATGCAGTCACACCTTCTATTAAGGGCAAGATGGCAGTGCAGTAATAGAGGGGACATACCTGCAAACCATCATACCAAGGACCATATTTGTCTAAAGCAACTAGCTTTACATCTCGAGCAAGCAGCTTAGCAATTTTCCTAGTTTGGGTCAGTGGGATTTTTGAATCTTGATCTCCACTGTTAAAAACAAAGACATGCACAATCTTAGTCTTACTACAGAGTAGGAGCTTTAACAAATTGAAAACACCAGGACTGGATAGGAGGAAATTTGAGTATAGTAACTTCAAATTTTGTGATGAACTACCTGAAAAGCAGAACTTGGATATTCTCTTTTAGAATATTTGACAGTAGAGGTATAGTGTTTACAGCTAAATCTTCTCTCCGATAGTGAAGGTTCCTGCATTTTAGCATACTTGTCTTATAAATGCACAGGCAATAATGTAAACAAGAGAAAGTAAATGTTGCCGTAATACATAAAATAAACAAGGAAAGCATTCCCTGCCTACCAGTTCAAGCTTTTAGATAAGATGATTCACCCACTTTAGCGCAACAACAATAACAATCCAATAAAATCCCACAAGTGGGATATGGGGAGGGTAGTGTGTACGCAGACCTTACCCCTACCCGGGAGTAGAAAAGTTGTTTCTGATAGACCCTCCACTCAAGAAGACGAAAAGAGACAATAGATCAGTAACAACAACAGAAACCAGAAAAATAATAACAGCATTGCAAGAGCCAGAAAATAGATGGAAAAGCAAGAACAATAACCAGTAATAAAGGTCCGGTACTATGAAAAACGGAAAAATAGTATGAACACTACATGAACCACTAGCAGTAGAAAGTAAAGGGAAGGAGAGAACTGACCCCAAACAAAAATCCCAGGCATATGGCAGGTAAGTGGTGTTGGCATGTAGTGCCTTTTGAACATCTGGCTTATTAAGGTACAGATATATCCTATCCGTAAGGCATGGATCAGCAGCTATTCCTACTGCATTCTTAACAAACTGTCAAAAGAATAGCTGCGAAAGGTTAGCTGCAATTGCAAAAAGTTGAATTATGTCATAAAAACAATTAGATTTCCTACCTTTCCATGTATTGTGGCAAGGGCTCTCAATTGTCCTGCTGCACCAGAAGATACACATGTTGGCGCGAGCAGATCCCCCATATCTATATCATTTCCCATCTCCTCGTCTGTGAGTTCCGAAACTTTCATGCACTCGTTAGATACATTATTATGTATTGATTCCAACAAGAACCTCGTTTCGTTACAGATTTTTCTTCTCATTGTAAGCAGTTCATCAGAAATGGCACCATGTGACCATAGATATTCAGCAGACTTCACACTTATTTCTAGATCTAGTAGTGGATTCCCCAGCTGCAAAATTCATTTTATTAAGTGAAGATTTGAATGTGCAACAATTACCAAGAGACAGTTCAAGGAATCAAGGGTAATGTAAATATTACTGCAATTGATTTAAGGTTGATTGGTTTAACATTGGGCTTTCTGTTGTGATCAAGCAGCAATACTGTGAGCTGTGGTATATAGTGACCTGATAACCAAAAACAAATTAGTTAACAAATCATTACAACCAAAAAGCAAAATGGACATAGGCAAGTTAAGTTCAGGTATATTAACCTGCATAACTCTCCCCAGCTAAGTACACGTCGGAGTTTCTATTTTGGGGGAATTTCTTGAACCAGTTGAGAATGAATTGGACATTCTCCTTAGCTGTAAAGGATTAAAAAGAGTAAAATTAAAGATTTTCTGGCAATGACTTACTAATATTATTGGTATTTCAAGTAAACTGGTATACCAGTTGCCGTATCATCCCAATTGGTGTAGTCTAAGCTTGTATTTGAGTATGAAAATCCTACTCCAATCGGGGACTCCACGTATAACATGTTCGATACTGTTTCATAGCAATTAAAAATTAGCCATTGTTATCCAATTTTCAGGTATAAAATCTTTCAATATGATCATTCAGGAAACAAGAAACATTACCCAAATTCCAGGAAAATACTTGTTTTTCATTAGGTTTCCATCAATCCCTGGCTGAAATGGACCGTGCTCCATAAAAGCACCAAAACCCACAGATGAACAACCAGGGCCTAATATTTTGAATACAACCAAATTAATATTTACAGTTGTTAAAACTATAAATCAAGGTTATTAGAAAAATGTACCTCCATTGAGCCAAACAGTAAGGGGAAGTGACGCTGCATTTTCTGAATCTGCTTCGACAAAGTAATAAAATAGAGCTCTGCCATGTTGAGAATTTGTAACAATATAACCAGAGTATTGTTTGAAGAAAATATTTGGGGGCTGTCTAGGAAGAGAAGTTATGAGCTCAGCACTTGATTTGTAGTAAAAGAAGGAAGAAAAGATAGTGATGACATAGAAGCAAGGAACCATTTCAGATGGAAAGAGTGAACGAGTACAATAATTGTATCCCTGCAGATTGATATCCGTTAATGTTAACTTAAGATATCCAATTACTATTATTTATAAGAAAGTAGGATTTGAATAATACATCAACCTTTAAATATGTGCTACTGCCAAGAATATTATATTCTCACCTACCTCAAAGAAATTCAACCAAGTACCTTATACGTCTCTCGCCTAAGATAAAACAATCTACCATAGCTCAAAAAAAAGAGGAAACAATTAGTACTTAATCTCTTTGCCTCTACAAAAGTTCCTACTATAGTCACATATGATCTTCAATACAGTTTCATTTAACTGTTAGACCACACTTCCAGATATCAAAAATTAGGTTCGCTTTATTTGGACTAATCTTGCTGAAAATTAGGGGGAAAGTGCACGGTTAGCCACTAATAACACATGTATTTACTTTTAAGCCACTGTTTAAAATGTCTTTAGTCTTTAGCTACTGTTTTAATAAACTTTAACTGCCCGGACGAAAATACCCTTCTGCTCATGTCCTTAACTTTTGAAATTAACTTCAGGACTACATGTCCTTAACTTTTGAACTTAACTTCAGGACTACATGTCCTTAACTTTTGAACTTAACTTCAGGACTTCAACATGTCCTTAACTTTTGAACTTGTAACTGTAAGTTGAGGACCAAGTGTCCTTAACTTTTGAGCTTGTTAGTCTAAGTTCGGGACCTATTGTCTTTAACTTTTGGGCTTCTTAGCCTAAGCTCAGGACCTATTGTCCTTAACTTTTGAGCTTGTTAGTCTAAGTTCAGGACTTCAGGACCTATTATCCTTAACTTTTGAACTTGTAACTGTAAGTTCAGGACCTATTGTCCTTAACTTTTGGGCTTCATAGCTTAAGTTCAGGACCTATTGTCCTTAACTTTTGAGCTTGTTAGTCTAAGTTCAGGACTTTAGGACCTATTGTCCTTAACTTTTAAATTTGTAACTGTAAGTTCAGGACTTGTTGTCCTTAACTTTTGAGCTTGTTAGTCTAAGTTCAGGACCAAGTGTCCTTAACATTTGAACTTGTAACTCTAAGTTCAGGACCAAGTGTCCTTAACTTTTGAAACGACTAGTTTAATTAGCATACCACTGAAGCTCACAAACCAGAACCAAGACAAATTAAAAAGAAGAAAAGAACAACGAAATGAAGAGGACGTGCCAAGAAACGAGCACCTCTGCTGCTAGATCCACAGCTTCTAATGAAAGCAAGGTGGAAACAGAAAGTACTAAAATCTTTGCTGGTCTTCTAACCGAGCAGAGAATCTAAACTATCTTCGTTAGAGGATAGACGTGCATTGCTGGAGATAGAAGAAAGGGTAACACATTCTTTTCATATTAATTTTAATAGACTAGTGGCTACTATTTCTAAGCATTAAAAATGTTGGATAAAAAGTAAATACCACTTTAAAAAGTGGCTACCCCACACAATTTTTACGAAAATTAGAGGTGGCAATTTGAGCCCAAACCCATTCAACCCGCCCAACTCACCCAGAGATTAATGGGTTAGGCTACAAACATTTCAGCTCATGGGTCAATTTGGGCTGAGCCCAAGTTAACCCATTATTTTTTATAGGAATTTTTACCTCCTATAGCAAAGATTAACACCTTATTTATTTAGCTAGCGTTTGGCCATAGATCCCAAATTTATTTTGAAAAATCTGATTTGGGTGAAGTTTGGTTTGAAGATGAAAATGTGTTTGGACATACGTTTTCAAAACATATTTTCCAACTTTATTTTGGAAAAACACGTATATAATTCCCAAGTTTTGGGATTTTGGCCCAAAATCAGCAATTGGGGTAATTTTGGGATTTGGGGTTTGGGATTTGGGATTTTGCCAAAATGTGGGCAACATTTATGGCCAAACATGAGTTTTGAAAATAAATCCCAAATTTATTTTGGCAAAACTCATGGCCAAACGGGTCCTTAAAATAAATACCATTTAAATAAATTATATTCTATAGATACCTTTTATGGTTTATAGCAAAATTTCTAATTTTGGTTATCTCCTACACTTAAGCCACTAAAGACGCTATGTTTTATTTTTCTCTCTCCCTTCTCAGATTTTTCTCTCTCATAGTTACCGTTTTTCATACAACTTCTCAATTCACGTTCATCCTCTCTCTATTTTGATACAATCTATTTTCTTTCCTATTCCCTATAAACACGCTCAAAACCAGAGAAACCTCCTCACCCACACCGCTGCTTCCTCCTTCCCCAATCTCGGCGTAAACCCTAATCTCCTCTAGATTTTACTCATTTGTTTCTATAATTAGTGTGGTAAGCATTTAACTTTTTTGATTTTCGCTATTTTTGCTTATTCTCAACATCACTACTCACCAAATTTTCTCTAATCAACAGTATCCAAGCGTATTCTCACAATGTCTGAGAATACACCCCGCAAGTTGATTACTAGAGGTATACCCACTAAAATTCTCAATTTCGATGGGCCCTCTTTCTCCTTGCAAATCACTCAAGGGGAATTGGATGCAGGTTTAGCCAAAAATATGGCATTGGAGAAGAGAACAAAATCTCGACATGACAATTTCAAAGAAACCCAAGTCGAGAAATCATTGAAGGAAACAAGATTTCCCATTGCGGAAAAGAGAAAAAAAACGTATTTCTGAAGCTTCATTTGTCAAGGGGAAGGAGGTTGAAGCAAGTAAAAGCTCGGATACATTGGAAGAAAAGGTAATTTCTGATGTATTCATCTGTATTATTGATGTATTCATCTGTATTTATATGTATAAACCTGTTGAATTCTGTGTTCAAAAAGGATATTCAATGTATTTTTGTACTTATAGAGATCATGATACAGATATGTATATGTATTCTGATGTATTCTTATAGTTATATTTATAAGGATTTTCAAAGTTCCCATCACTGTTTTATTCTAATTGCAATGTCTTTATTTGTTGTATCCGTATGTACTATTTTAGTACATATATTTCTATCACTGATATCTTACTCCAGTTTATTTTTGCAGTCTGTATTTAGTTGTATTCATGTCAGTTGTACTATGAAATATGTGTTGTATTCAGCTGTATTTATATGTGTTTATTCTTGTTAAATGCAGGGAATTAAGCTGATTGTGAAAAAACAGCCTATATTTGCACCGCAGATCAGTATATATACTAACACTGACATAGTCTCCGAGCTAAAAGAAAATCTTACTCCAAAGCAGTACAAACAACTGGGTAATACTTATTTTGGAAATTTCCTTCAAATGAAGCGTTGTGAAGTCCAACAGCAACTCTTCAGATGCTTCATGGCTCTCCAGTTAGAAGGAAGTCCTGACAATGTATTTGCAATACACGTCAATGGTACTTCATTATCTTTCTCAATAAGGGAGTTTGCGCTTGTGACTGGCCTCAAATGTGTTGGTAACCCTGCTGATTTTGAGTTCAATGAAAAGGTTCCTAACCGGATTATTGAGACTTACTTTGGAGGTGCCAATCTTGTCAAAAAGAAAGATTTGATGGAATGCTTTGCTGACAAGAATTGGGGTCACGACAACGATGGGGATGCCTTAATGAAAGTGTTGTATTTAATACACACTTTCATTTTTTCATCCGAAAAGAACAGCACAACCATCCCAAGGCTACATTTTTACTTGGTCGAGAGTGGGCGCTATTCTGAATATCCATGGGGTATAAAAGTATTTGAAACCCTAACAAAATCTATTAGCAAGAAGATGGATGCTCAGAAGAAGTACTACAGGATAGCTGGGATGCCTCTAGCTATGCAAGTGTGGTTTTATAAGAGCTGTTCAAAAGTAGATCCCAAAATTGCACTCCGAGTTGATAACGTGATCCCCAGAATACTCAATTGGAGATCCACCGGTAATCAGCCAAACTTTGCTTATCTGATGAACGGCATGTTCAATGACTAGGGAAACATGGTAATTTACAATTTGTATCCTGGCTAGTTTACAATTTACTAATCATTAATGCTGCATACATTTGCATACAGTTATTGTTGCATACAGTTGAATACAGTTGTTACTACCTTCATAAGTACTGCTGCATACAGTTGCATATAATTTACTAATCATTATTGTTGCCTTCATTTGAATACAAATTATATTTTGATTCCAGATTTGCATACATCCATTGTAGTAAGACTTTGATTGTATTTCGTTTTTCAGATTGTTTACAAGGACATCCATCCAACCGATATAGAGCTTGCCGTTATTCAGATTCCTCCAGTAGGCGTTGCTGATGAGAATAGTCCTACTCCTACAAGAAGAAACATGCTGCAAGTGTTGGTCCATCTTCATCACCGCCCCATAAAAAGCGCAAGGAACAGATTATTCATCCCTCAAATACAGAGAATCAATCCAAGATTCCTCCTGTTGGTGTATCTGAAATTGCACAAAATGTTCTGCATCACAATCAGCTGGCAGATTCCAAAAGTGATGAAGTATCTTTTTTGAGGAAAGACCTAAATTCATTCAAAGAATACGTGAGTTTTTTATCCACACATTAAACATTACAGTTTAGTGCTTAACATTCGTATATTTTTGGCGCACTTTTCTAATTATTCCTGTCTTGCTAAGGTTGTGGGCGAGTTCAAGTCTCTGAGATCATTGATCAGTGATAACTTTAAGATGCTTTCTGACCATCTTCAAGATAATCAGAAAAAAGAAAGCTTAATTCAAGATAATCAGAAAAAAGAAAGCTTACACCAGAGAAAGGAAACCACAGGGAGACGTGATGATGGTATTGAAATGCCATATGATGCCAACTTGCAAGATATTCCAAAAGGTCACAGAGAGACTGATGCAGTTGTCGGCGATAATGTTGAGGTTTAATAGTTTTTAACCTCTTTAGTATATGTTTATATCTCCTGTTTGCTCTTATTCGGATTAATCATATATAAAATAATTTTGTAACATTGTGAAATACAAGTATATACAGAAAAATTCAATATTTTTAATTATCTTAATCCTATATGCATTTGTATTTTTCTGACTTTAATTCTACATAATTATTGTGCTCTTCGCATGTTGTATCTACATGTATTCATATATATTACAACATGATACTTGTATACATTTAAGTAATGTTATAACTTTCAGCTAGATGCATTTAAATTCTGCCCAAAATATGTAATGTATTTATATGTATTCAGATGTATTCTTAATATGTTGTCCAATGTATTTAAATTCTCTACGTAAATACAGCCTCAGCAAAATACAAATTCAAGATCAAATATGTATTATATTTATATGTATTTAACTGTATTCATACAGTTAGTTACTACACCAACATTGATGCATACGTCTAACAGAATACAGCGGTTAATGCTCTTTGTGTGGAGTCAAGAGTGGAGGGGAATACTACATCAGATGTGTCGTGCAACATACCACCTATAGGCCAAGAGGGTGTATCTACAGATTACTATGTATCTCAATTTGAGCTGGACGACAAGTTTCTTCCCAGTCAAATTTCAGAAACTAGAATTGTGACACATAACAGTGCAAAAAAAGTTGAATCAACCCCAGTACCATCTCATAGGAATCGGCGACCAAGTAGATGGTATTCTTCGCCTTACGAGTCTAACTTCGACTCCGCAGGTTAGTGTTTTATAAACTAATGATCTATTTCCCCGTGGTTTTTATAATTAAAAGTCTTTATTCATGAATTCAATGAACAACAGGTACCTCAGTATAGTTGACCCCCATTTTTGGAAAAAGACACTCCTTTGAGGATGATTCAATAACGGGGACACATCCTACATTAATCATTCAGAAATACGACAAATGGGTTCGTGATGGTCTTCTCGCTAAACATGAACAGAAGTGACTTTTTCCCCGGTATGTCTATTACATATTTATATTTTAAAAAATGGATATAATATTTTTTTATATCATACTTGTAGAAGTAATTTGGAAGACCATTACAAGAAGAACAAGTCAACACTTCATATACCATTGAATTTTGGAGTTGATCAAGTCAATTCAAAAAATTGATTTTACCATCTATCGTTTGACGTTAAAAACTATGGGATGACAATGTAAGTTTCACCCCTTCCTACTCCACTATAATTCATTTCTTTAGTATTGGTTTGTCTAATTGTATAATTCACAAATTGAGCTCTCACACAAATTTGTCTTACATTATTTTTATGTATTCAATTGTACTCAGATGTATCTTTTACATCTGCTGTATTTAATTGTATTCAGTTGTATTTTAACATTACTCAGTAGTTGTAAATAACAGATGTTTTTAGCTGAATCTGTATGGTGTATTTAATGGTATCATTATTCTTGAATAACTGCTGTATTTTACTGCATTCAGATGTATTTTAAAAGTTCTCAGTAGTTGTAACTAACATATGTATTTCAGTACTATGTATTTAATTGCCTCATTAGTCTTGAATAACAACATGTATTTAAATATATTTAGATGTATTTTAATATTACTAGGTAGTTGTAAATAACAAATGTATTTAACTGAATCTGTATGATGTATTTAATGGCCTCATTATTCTGAATACACTTAAATACAGCAGTTATTCAAGAATACATCTGAATACACTTAAATACAGCATACAGATTCAGTTAAATACATCTGTTATTTACAACTACCTAGTAATATTAAAATACATCTAAATATATTTAAATACATGTTGTTATTCAAGACTAATGAGGCAATTAAATACATAGTACTGAAATACATCTGTTAGTTACAACTACTGAGAACTTTTAAAATACATCTGAATACAGTAAAATACAGCAGCTATTCAAGAATAATGATGCCATTAAATACACTATACAGATTCAGCTAAAAACATCTGTTATTTACAACTACTGAGTAATGTTAAAATACAACTGAATAATTAAATACAGCAGATGTAAAAGATACATCTGAGTACAATTGAATACATAAAAATAATGTAAGACAAATTTGTGTGAGAGCTCAATTTGTGAATTATACAATTAGACAAACCAATACAAAAGAAATGAATTATAGTGGAGTAAGAAGGGGTAAAACTTACATTGTCATCCCATAGTTTACCGTCAAACATTAGAAGGTAAAATCAATTTTTTGAATTGACTTGATCAACTCCAAAATCCAATGGTATATGAAGTGTTGACTTGTTCTTCTTGTAATGGTCTTCCAAATTACTTCTACAAGTATGATATAAAAAAATATTATATCCTTTTTTTAAAATATAAATATGTAATAGACATACCGGGAAAAAAGTCACTTCTGTTCATGTTTAGCGAGAAGACCATCACGAACCCATTTGACGTATTCCTGAATGATTAATGTAGGATGTGTCCCCGTTATTGAATCATCCTCAAAGGGGTGTCTTTTTCCAAAAATGGGGGTCAACTATACTGAGGTACCTGTTGTTCATTGAATTCATGAATAGAGACTTTTAATTATAAAAACCATGGGGAAATAGATCATTAGTTTATAAAACACTAACCTGCGGAGTCGAAGTTAGACTCGTAAGGCGAAGAATACCATCTACTTGGTCGCCGATTCATATGAGATGGTACTTGGGTTGATTCAACTTTTTTTGCACTGTTGTGTATCACAATTCTAGTTTCTGGAATTTGACTGGGAAGAAACTTGTCGTCCAGCTCAAATTGAGATACATAGTAATTTGTAGATACACCCTCTTGGCCTATAGGTGGTATGTTGCACGGCACCTCTGATGTAGTATTCCCCTCCACTCTTCACTCCACACAAAGAGCATTAACCACTGTATTCTGTTAGACGTATGTATCAATGTTAGTGTAGTAACTGACTGTATGAATACAGTTAAATACATATAAATACAATACATATTTGATCTTGAATTTGTATTTTGCTGAGGCTGTATTTACGTGGAGAATTTAAATACATTGGACAACATATTAAGAATACATCTGAATACATATAAATACATTGCATATTTTGGGCAGAATTTAAATGCATCTAACTGGAAGTTATAACATTACTATATAGAGGAAGCTTAAATGTATACAAGTATCATGTTGTAATATATATGAATACATGTAGATACAACATGCAAAGAGCACAATAATTATGTAGAAATAAAGTCAGGAAAATACAAATGCATATAGGATTAAGATAATTAAAAATACTGAATTATTCTGTATATACTTGTATTTCACAATGTTACAAAATTGTTTTATATATGATTAATCCGAATAAGAGCAAACATGAGATATAAACATATACTAAAGAGGTTAAAAAATGTTAAACCTCAACATTATCGCCGACAACTATATCAGTCTGTCTGTGACCTTTCTAAATATCTTGCAAGTTGGCACCATATGGCATTTCAATACCATCATCACGTCTCCCTATGGTTTCCTTTCTCTGGTGTAAGCTTTTTTTTTGTTGATTGTCTTGAAGATGGTCAGAAAGCATCTTAAAGTTATCATTGATCAATGATCTCAGAGACTTGAACTCGCCCACAAACTTAGCAAGAAAGAAATAACTAGAAAAGTGCGCCAAAAATTTACGAATGTTAAGCACTAAACTGTAATGTTTAATGTGTGGATAAAAAACTCACGTATTCTTTGAATGAATTTAGATCTTTCCTCAAAGAAGATACTTCATCATTTTTGGAATCTGCCAGCTGATTGTGATGCAAAACATTTGTGCAATTTCAGATACACCAACAGGAGGAATCTTGGATCGATTCTCTGTATTTGAGGGATGAATAATCTGTTCCTTGCGTTTTTTATGGGGCGATGATGAAGATGGACAAACACTTGCAACATGTTTCTTCTTACACTAAAGATCAGGTATAGGAGAAAAATCATCTGATTCCTCCGCCGACTTGTCTGAATGAGTAGGAGTAGGACCGTTCTCAACAGCAACGCCTACTGGAGGAATCTGAATAACGGCAAGCTCTATATCGGTTGGGTGGATGTCCTTGTAAACAATCTGAAAAACGAAATACAATCAAAGTCTTACTATAATGGATGTATGCAAATCTAGAATCAAAATGTAATTTGTATTCAAATGAAGGCAGCAGTAATGATTAGTAAATTATATGCAACTATATGCAGCAGTACTAACGAAGGCAGCAATAACTATATTCAACTGTATGCAGCTGTATGCAGCAATAACTGTATGCAAATGTATGCAGCATTAATGATTAGTAAATTGTAAACTAGCCAGGATACAAATTGTAAATTACCATATTTCCCTTGTCATTGATATGTCGTTCATCAGATAAGCAAAGTTTGGCTGATTACCAGTGGATCTCCAATTGAGTATTCTGGGACCACGTTATCAACTCAGAGTGCAATTTTGGGATCAACTTTTGAACAGCACTCATAAAACCACACTTGCATAGCTAGAGGCATCCCATCTATCATGTAGTACTTCTTCTGAGCATCCATCTTCTTGCTAATAGATTTTGTCAGGCTTTCAAATGCTTTTATACCCCATGGATATTCAGAATAGTGCCCACTCTTGACCAAGTAAAAATGTAGCTTTCGGATGGTTGTGTTGTTCTTCTCGGATGAAAAAATAAAAGTGTGTATTAAATACAACACAGCTATCTTTAAGGCATCCACATCATTGTCGTGACCCCAATTCTTGTCAGCAAAGCATTCCATCAAATCTTTCTTTTTGACAAGATTGGCACCTCCAATGTAAGTCAATAATTCGGTTAGGAACCTTTTCATTGAACTCAAAATCAGCAGGATTACCAACATATTTAAGGCCAGTCACAAGCGCAAACTTCCTTATTGAAAAAGATAATGAAGTACCATTGACGTGTATTGCAAATACATTGTCAGGACTTCCTTCTAACTGGAGAGCCATGAAGTATCTGAAGAGTTGTTGTTGGACTTCACAACGATTCATTTGAAGGAAAATTTTCAAAACAAGTATTGCCCAGTTGTTTGTTCTGCTCTGGAGTAAGATTTTCTTTTCGCTCGGAGACTATGTCAGTGTTAGTATATACACTGATATGCGGTGCAAATATAGGCTTTTTTTTCACAAACAGCTTAATTCCCTGCATTTAACAAGAATAAATAAATATAAATATAGCTAAATACAACACATATTTCATAGTACAACTGACATGAATACAACTAAATACAGACTGCAAAAATAAACTGGAGTAAGATATCAGTGATAGAAATATATGTACTAATATAATACATACGCATACAACAAATAAAGACATTGCAATTAGAATAAAATAATGATGGGAACTTTGAAAATCCTTATAAATACAACTATCTGCATTTGACAAGAATAAATAAATATAAATACAGCTGAATACAACACATATTTCATACAACAACTGACATGAATACAACTAAATACAGACTGCAAAAATAAACTGGAGTAAGGTATCAGTGATAGAAATATATGTACTAATATAATATATACGCAAACAACAAATAAAGACATTGCAATTAGAATAAAACAATGATGGGAACTTTGAAAATCCTTATAAATACAACTATAAGAATACATATACATATCTGTATCATTGATTTCTATAAGTACAAAAATACATTGAATATCCTTTTTGAACACAGAATTCAACAGGTTTATACATATAAATACAGATGAATACAGCAGAAATTACCTTTTCTTCCAGTGTATCCGAGCTTTTACTTGCTTCAACCTCCTTCCCCTTGACAAATGAAGCTTCAAAAATATATTTTTTCCTCTTTTTTGCAATGGGAAGTCTTGTTTCCTTCAATGATTTCTCGACTTGGGTTTCTTCGAAATTGTCATGTCGAGATTTTGTTCTCTTCCCCAATGCCATATTTTTGGCTAAACCTGCATATAATTCCCTTTGAGTGATTTGCAAGGAGAAAGAGGGCCCATCGAAATTGAGAATTTTAGTAGGTGTACCTCTAGTAATCAACTAGCGGGGTGTATTCTCAAACATTGTGAGAATACGCTTAGATACTGTTGATTAGAAAAAATTTGGTAAGTAGAGATGTTGAGAATAAGCAAAAATAGCGAAAATCAAAAAAATTAAATACTTACACCACTAATTATAAAAACAAATGAGTAAAATCTAGAGGAGATTAGGGTTTACGCCGAGATTGGGGAAGGAGGAAGCAGCGGTGTTGGTGAGGAGGTTTCTCTGGTTTTGAGCGTGTTTACAGAGAATGGGAAAGAAAATATATTGTATCAAAATAGAGAGAGGATGAACGTGTATTGAGAAGTTGTACGAAAAACGGTAACTACGAGAGAGAATCTGAGAAGGGAGAGAGAAAAATAAAATATAGCGTCTTTAGTGGCTTAAATATAGTAGATAACCAAAATTAGAAATTTTGCTATAAACCATACAAGGATTGAAGCTTTAAGCAATCAAGGAAAAAAAAGCCAAACATTAACATATAGCACACTACCGGAACAGAGTTGCATATACCTTTTACTCGCATGAAGTTCCACCAAGTAGTATGGTGGGTAAGTTTTCCCTTTTCTTGGGCTTTATGCCGTACAAATCCATATTAGTCAAAATTGGCACCTGATTACTAGCCTGTTTGGCAAAGCTTCTTTTTGGCCAAAAGTGCTTCTTTTTTTTGCCAAAAGCACTTTTGGCCAAAAATTGAGGTGTTTGGCCAAGCTTTTGGAAGGAAAAAAAATGCTTTTGAGGAGAAGCAGAAGCAATTTTGGAGAAGCAGATAAAAGTAGCTTCTTTCCAAAAGCACTTTTTTGAGAAGCACTTTTGAGAAAAATACACTTAGAAGCAATTTTTTAAAGCTTGGCCAAACACTAATTGCTGCTCAGAAGTGCTTTTCAAACTAATTAGCCAAACATAAACTGCTTCTCACCAAAAGTATTTTTGAGAAAAGCACTTTTGGAAAAAAGCACTTCTCAAAATAAGCTGAATTTTGCAGCTTGGCCAAACAGGCTATACGTAAAGCTATGAAAAATGAGTCTTTCTCCTTTCCTTTTTAAACTGATTCTAAGCTAGAGGCAGCAACAGAATGCCTTACTCTAATAGGAAAACAGTTGGAATTGTTGCTGAAGAAATGGAACTAGAAATGGGATACAGCAAGTATTAAGTTATGGAAGATTACTTCTCTTTGGGTGAAAACTCGGGGTTAAAAGCATCAAGTGAGTTTATGGTTTCTAAAAGCTTCCCCTGTATTTTTTTTCTCTATTCATCTTCTAGATCTCTTTCTATCCAAAGCCGTCTAAAAGCCAACGTACCCCCTTCCCCAGGCTAAAATTTTGCCAGAAATGGGTACTACCCAAGTGTGGTCGCCATTTGGAAAGTCGAGCATCTTTTATATGAGGTCTGAGAAAAGATAAACATGTTTGTGCAACCCCTTAACTCCAATGACAGTTGCTAGTCCATGCATACTTGATCAGGAAGGGAACTCTATGATCAACTTAAGATAAGGAGCGCTAAAACGCGTGGTTTCATGTATACCGCTGCTTATAACTGAAAAAGAAGCAACTGATGACGTGCTTCAAAGCATACGGCTTGAACCAACCAACTATTTTGCAGTCGATCAGACTCAGTTAAGTAGATTAAAAAGTAACGCAAATGGGTAAAATTTTAAAACTTATGTATAGACGCCGAAGGACTGACCAAAGTCAACAAGCAAATAAAAAACAAAAGAGTGCCAAATTTTAAAGCGTCTTGACAGCAAATGCAACCACCTGTTTACTTGATCTTCTTCTTTGGCCTCAACTGCAATAAAAGTAGGAAATAGAAGGACCATTTAATATAGTGTCCAGTAACGCACAACGTTACACAAGATTGACCAAGAACAAACCTGGTTGCTATGGCCACACTTCTTTTTCCTGCAGTTGACAGCACGAGGATGCAAACGCGCATAGCACCTGCAGCAAAAGAAAAAGGCATAAATACACCCAAGAGTTTCAACGAAAGAATAAAAAGACCACAACTCGTTATTCACGCAACTTAACCCATTAGAAGGCAAAATCATAGCAGTATCAAAGAAAGAATAAATAGACCACAACTTGTTAGTCACGCAACTTAACCCAACAGAATGCAACATCATAGCGCGTGGACCAGTGAGAGGGCCCAGAAATAATTTAAAGGGAAAGACTTCATTTTAGCACCAAAAGTTTGTTTAGTCGTGCAATTATCGTACGATCCCCTCATGAGATTACAATGAGAAAAACTGATATGTTCGATAGTCACTCAGAACAAGCAGAAAATGTCATGCATGCCATATTCAAGCCACTACCTTGGCCAGGATAGCTTCAAATCATGTCTACCAAAATAGTACACTCAAAAGTATATCAAAAAGCAAACAAGGGCATCAGAGAGCTATACTAACGAATCTGTAGGTGGTTGATAAGGTAGTATTTGGCAGGTTCCTATCTCTGCCATGCCCTCAAAGCATCATCACTTTCTAGTTTCTTCTTCGGTTCACATCACATAACGTTCTAAATTATCTTAATATCTTAGCTAAGTACAATGCTCTGAGGCACACAAATTAGAATAAAAGCAGCAGCAAGTAGACATTAATTTTCTTGTGCAAGATGCAACTTCACCGTAAGATCATAGAGGTGAAAGATAGAGGTGAAGAATATAGAGGTGAAAGAAAATCACCATGTGTTACAAGTGATAACAAGAAAATGAAATGCCATCTACAAGCTTGAGCTCACACGAAAACAATTGTATGTCACCACAAAAACATTCTTGAACAGGCCATCTTAGAGATTTGACATTTCAGAGATAAATTATTTTTCGGCTCTAGAGGAACAGACTACATGAATCCCCTATATCCAATTCTCATGAAATCAGGTCAATATCGTTCCAAAAGTAAACATAATACGTGAAATCAAGTCTTTTTTTGTTCAGGAGAACTTACTTGCGGCAGATCATCTTATCCTGGTTGTACTTCCGGGCCAAAGCCATAAGAGACGGTTCAATAATCCCACCTCGAAGCCTCAGCACAAGATGCAAAGTGGACTCTGTTTTTCATTAGGAAAAATAATTAACCAAAAAAAAAAAAAATCAGTTTCCAATTTCATTCAACACTGACCTTTTTGGATATTATAATCTGCAAGCGTACGGCCATCTTCAAGCTGTTTACCAGCAAATATCAGACGTTGCTGGTCCGGTGGAATCCCTATAAAGTATCCATCAATCAGATACCTTTATTATTTCACAATTACTATGAAAGATAAGAAAAAAGTGAGAAAATTACAAGTGAATACCTTCCTTATCCTGAATCTTAGCCTTGACATTGTCAATGGTGTCACTCGATTCGACCTCTAGGGTTATGGTCTTCCCTGTTAAGGTTTTCACGAAGATCTGCATCTTTGGTTCTCTTTGCTATTTGCACTTCATCCCGTTACCAGAGAGCTTATAGCGATGCTGTTTAGGGTTTTGAGAAGCATTAATTTCATTTACCTCCACTCCAGATTGCATAATTACAAATACCTCCTAGAGTTTTTTGAACGTATCTATTTAGAGATGGCACCGGGGCGGGGCTGGGCGGGTTGAGAGTAGAAACTTAACTAGCAAAACTTTAACCTGCACCGCATAGCATTTCTTCTGCTTTCAACCCGCCTGGCCCCACAAAAAGAGATTTATATTGTTACTTTGCTAAAACACATCGTGGATATGGTATTAGCTATTTGTATCGTCAGTTTAACTTCTAAAATAACATTAATTTTTAATACTAAGAATTTGTTCACTCCTTTTCTCTTTTCAGACTGTATACGGTCGAGATCGAATGCCTTCGATCAATATATACTTGAGAGGTCGTCAGAAATCCGAGTCCGGGTAAGGCCAGGTTCGAGCTCGAGGAACCAAACCCGAGTTCTAAGGCGAAGCACGATGCATACCGAGGTTGGGTTGTTCTACCCCGAAATAGTACCGTTATGGATTTATACCATAACGAGCTAGATTCCAACCACGTCCCCAAAGTCATGACGCAAATCACGGAATAGGATTATACAATTCTGTACTAGGCGGTTAGACAGTTGTACCAAAAATATTCCCTACTGTAAATAGAAATATTCCTTATTTAGGGTTCCCCCATTATATAAAGGGGATCCCAATCATTTGTAAGACCACCCTTTTTACTGAGGAAAGAATATACTTTCTACCTTTTCGCCTACTGTTCATCAGCATTGTCCTTAAACTCTATTGTTGTTATTTTACTTTTCTTACTTTATTGCTCTTAGCCATCTCGAGGTCACCGTCTCGAGGTCATCACTGTCAATTGTTATTGGTTTGATTCGCTTATCCTTTTTTCATTCCTATTTCATATTTCTTGATTACTAATTGGTATTGAACTAAATCACATATTTTTAAAACCACAAATTAAATTTAATTGTTACTCGTATTTTTCGAGGTAAACAGTTTGGCCCCCACCGTGGGGCTAAAGATAATAGTGATTATTTCTTTACTGATTCTTGTTACACACATTATCTTTACGCTTTTTCTTATCAAGAATCTTTTATTTTCAGGCTGAAACATGTCTAGCTCACAAAATGCACATGTTCATGACAATGAGGGTCTTGGAGAAAACAACAACGTAGAGGTCGGTGTACTACCAATAAACCCTGAGGGAGTGCCAAATATGGAGCCAGTTGATATCAGTTCGCATAATGCTTCTACGCGGTGAAATTAGAGGGCCCGATTTCCCGCCATTAAGCCATCTCGGGGAGGTACCTCGAGACCCCGAGGATATGAACCCACGACTTAGCCCTCTCCTTCGGGGCTTGTCAAAGCCCGTTTCGAGGCCGAGATAAAGATAAAGAGGGGAAGCCCCCGAGACACGCGGTTGAGTCTGACAGGGCCGGCCTATCTATAGCCTACGTTGAGGCGTCGCGTCAAGCCATCACATCTCCATATTTCGTAAATTAAATATACATGTATTCGTAACTGAGTTCCCCTCCTATATAAAGGGGACTCGCCCTACCTTGTAAAGGACGGATGTTACTCCATTTTCTCCACAAGTGCAATAATATCTCTCTCTCTCTTTCTCTTCTTTCTAAACTTATTGGCTCTCACTGATCAGAGGATACCTCGATATCCTTCGCTTTTATATGAGTTCTTCATCGTGTAACTCGATTTTGACTATAAAAAGCTTCATTTGATTATATCTCTAACTGTTATACTACCCTCGATTGTCCCCGATAGCCAGAGCTTGATCTCGAGGTCGACCCCGAAGCCCCCATCGACCAAACCTACATCCGGGTAGCAGGCCCTTCGGTTCGATCCTCCATCATTAAATTTCATATTATTAGCATCATCTGCTCTAACAACTAGCTCGGGAATAGATCACGTATTTTTAGAGTCCCATTTTACAAATTCAATTGTCGTTACCATTTTCACGGTAAACAGTTTGGCGCCCGCCGTGGGGATAAAAATAATAGTGATTATTCTCTTGCTAGTTTCATTACACAAACGCATATCATCTTTCACACTTTTTCTTGTCCAAGATCCTTCGATTTCAGGTAAATATGTCTGGCTCAGTAAACAGAGTTGAGAACGACCGCCTCGAAGATTAAGGGGAAAGTGGTGTAGCTATCCCGGCCGCCGGAGCACCACTACAGGATCTCGATAACACACCCGGACCAATACTAGCAGACGCGGACTCATAGGACGCATAGCAAGTCAACGAAACTTCTCACACCGACTGAAGCGTGCGACACAGCGATCGACAGGAAGTTCAAAAAATTCCGGCCTGGGAAGAACAGGAAGTTAGTCTTCATGTTATTTTTGAAATACTGCAGGCACAACAACTGGCCATTACTCAGTTGCAAAGCCATCCGAGGGCCCCCAGCGTAGCAGCGCCGGAAACAGCTTCTCCCGACGAGCGCACCGCCGCTCACGCATGCACGAAGAAAAATAGCGGCTTTCAAGATGACCCGCTACAGAAACATACGCCGATGTCATCAAAGTAGCAGCGGCGGAAATCGACAAGTCGGAGGCCGAACAAAGAAAGGAAGAAACACCACAAGAAGTCACACCTTGCTCCCTGGTAGGACGAATGAGATCGCATCCGGTTTCGGGTGAACAGACAACCCTGGCCTTTGCTCGGGGTCTAAACAGAGCATACACGCCGACCCCAGGTCGTTTCAAACGACGTTTAGCCAGATACCCGGCCGAGACTTGGCCATGCGTCCATATCCAGCACTGGCCACTAATCGGGGCCATGAGCGACCATCCAGAAACCTCTGCAGAAACAGCACGCCCAAGCAGGCCTTCCCGAAGAAACTAATGCCAAACGGATGGAGATACCGTCCATGCGCCGCTAATGGGAGGAACGCCTCAAGATCTAACCTACCTCGCAACGGTAGGGGAATAGTTCGAGGGCGACATCCTCGGGGAACCTCCAGTGGAACCAGATTTGATGAGGCACAGCCAGCAGACGAACCTCGTCCGGCAGAGTACGGGCTCAACATTGTTATGCCAAATATCCTAGTCACCATAAGCGAAACCAGGAACATTGAGCGACTCAGGCTTACTCGACCAAGGCCCCTTCGAAAGAACCACAACCCGACGTGGAATCCGCAGGACGCAGACGGCAGCGGGGCCGCAAATGACTCCCGTCCCAAAAATTTGACAGCCGTGTTACTCAGTCAAAATCGCCGACGAGTACTATCAAACAATCAAGCTCAAATCTGGCCCCGAGGAAAGAAGACAACCGGGAAGGATGAAGTAAACAAGCCAGACGTATCACCGCGACAATAGAGGAGCGGCGACGCCCTCCGAGAACTCATAACAGGGGGAGTAAAAATACCCGCCACCGGGACAAAGACAGATCCAGGGAAATATTTCCAAGGATACTCTGGCATCCAGAGAAAAGGGCACCACGACTCCACCCCAGCGTCGCGCCAGCACATTGGTAAACCTCTCCCTCATCCGCTTAATCTTAAATAAAACATGTGTTCATAGATTCAGGAAGTTCGGTCACCCACAACGGCGGTATCGAACCAAAGGTCAACAGGGCAGTCCGCATTAACGGACCAAATCGCCCTCACATCCCGAATCCTTGGTGAATTCCAAATGACAAATCGCCAAAAAGACCATTCTCTCAATATAGCCTATATGAGTCCGAGCCGGGACCTCGCGCTTTACACATTCAAATGAAGTGCAAAGCATAGACGTCTTGTTCAGACGTCCACCGACGCACTACCCGAAGGCGCCAACGATCCTATCTCGACAAAAGAATAAGATTCCTCGCAAAGGGCAGAATTGGAATAAGCCGACAGGGGCACCCCTAGTCCCAGAACATCGCCTAACACACCCCGCGGTAAGAAAGAACTACTTTGCTCCTTCATTTTCTTTTTACTAACCTGAACGTAGACAGCTGGCAAGGATATTCGGAGGTTCCCAAGACTCTACCCGGAGATCCCTAGGCCTCATATAGGCGACCGCCGCGTTTCCTCCCTTCAGTCGGGCTTCTGCCCCGAAAGAAACCTTGTCAGCAAGATAATTGGCAGAACAACGTACCAGAAGAAGGTTCGATGATGTCAAGGGCTTTATTCCGATATCCCAACAACGAACGATGATTTGCCCCTAAGAGCATCCCCCCTCGGGAGGACCCAGATACGGCGGACTAAACCCCTATCGGGAATTATATGCTGGGCCAAAACGGTCCGAGAAGCCGTGCACGCACGGGTCGAGTTCACAATGGCGAAACAATGTACATCTATACCAAGCAATAAAAGGATATTTTCTCGGCATTTTATTCTCCAGACAAAGAAATCTCAAATGTATCCTCGGCAGGGGCCCCCTCCACCGAATACATTCCGAAATACTCGGAGACTTAATGCCTACAACTAGGCACTCGTGCGATCTCAGGATCAGAACTCCGGGCTCATAAAGCCCCTACAAGGCAACTCCGAGCTCACAAGTAGCGGTCTTCACGCTTAAACAACTTGATGACTCGGAGGCTATCGTCAGTCACCATACGCTGGAAAATCCAAAACTGTAAGACCCTTAGCAGGCAGACTCGGCATAACCAGGTCCATTCTACATCGCCCAAGAACTGTAAGACCTCAATAGGCATGACAAACTGTAAGACCTCAATAGGCATGACAAACTGTAAGACCTTAACAGGCATGAAAATCCCGAAGTTTAGGCTATACGTCGCATTTGTAAGAATTCCAAAAGGGCATACCCTCGATGTAGACGCCTAAACTATCACTCGGGATCAAAAATGGCTACGGCGTGACTACGGTCAAAACAGCTGATACAGCCAAAATAACGCGACTTGGGGACGCCCGACCATCGCTAAACAAAAATCGCAGGCCACTACTTCGAATATACTTCGAAAAGAACCGTTTAAAACAGGCTTCCCTCAAATAGGAAAACAACGGGCTATGAACCTTCCGAGGTGCTCGAAATATCACCGAT